GCAGCTGTGAAGCCCACCGCTTCTCCTCACTGTGTTTACAGCTGGAGAGCTCCGGCTCCAGAAGCACAGCAGGGCTGAACTGAGGGAAGAGAACTAAAGTGATGAAGTGAGGAGAGATGCTGAGGAGGCTGGAGCTTTTTATCTGACAGGTTAGACCCTAATTTAACTTTTTTACGATTTAGATCTGCCTCTTGTTGGGTCCATTAGAGACCAGTTAGACCAATTAAAAGTCATTCTGTTTTTAATAAAGACCTTTGTTTTACAGATACAATTAAAACAAATTAAAAATGGAGGCAGGATGGAAAGTTATGATAAGTTTGAAGAGATTTTCTGCATCATCAGATTTGATCTAAACTAAAATCTGATCTTCAAACAGAACAAAAGAAATTAACCTTATGATGGTTTAATAATTCATCTAATTAAGAAAATGTTCATAAATTATGTCATAAATGACAATTATTGGAAACTACTAGAAAGATTAAAATAGTGACTTTACAAAATCAGCTGAAATGATTAATTTCTTCTGGATAAATGGAGAGAAGTGTCATGATTTCATAAAAATCTGGAACTGAGGCATTTTGATGTTATCACCCCCTGCCTCTCGGATCAGGCATTGCGCTAATCATCCACACCTACACTGAGTTGGCTCATCACCTTCCCTGGGCTTTATAAGGAAGTGCTGGAGTGGATCTCATCGCTGAAGTAATGTAATAAATACAAGGATAACAAAGAGAAATGGTAATAATCAATAGAGACACTAGCAATTTTGACCCACACTRCATTCTAGTAGGTGGCGGTAATGCACACCAAAAGTTGTTTGCCAACCGCCAATAAAAACCCATGAAGAAGAAGAAGAAGATCTCATCGCTGAAGCATCGCCTCTGTTGGGTATGAGCTCAGCCTGCTACTTGTTGTCTTCTAGAGAGTTTTATTTACCTTTGTATTGTTGAAGTAACCAGTTTTATAATCAAATATATGCTTTGTTTACTTATTAGTGTTATGATTAAACTTAGGTATTGTTTAGTTTTATAATTGGATTTAGGTATTGTTCACTCTTAAAGTTCTATTAACAACATRAGTATTGTTCACTTTTGCATGAAGTTTGTTCAGCGGTATTTTGTGTTAAGCAGCTGAAGTTTTTTACATTTTATTCATTTATTGTTGTATGGACGAGCTGAGTGTCCTCCCTGTGAGCTGCTGGAGTGGAGCAGGTTCTGACAAGCAGAAGATGAGTTGCAGACGGGCTGAGGGAGTCTAAGGGAGTGGACGGTTGGGTCCAGTTGAAGCCGCATTCCTGAGAGAGCTCTGTGTGTGAGTGTGGAAGAGGAGAATAAAGACAGGGTTGTTCTTCTCATCAAACAGACGACATCTTACCAGCAGAGAAGCTGAGTGCACCTGATTTCAGGTTGTCTTGTTGTCTCTTTAAATGCGCATTTAAAGCTTTTGAATAATCTTGTATTTTGCATTTTGCTTAACCTTTTACAATTACATTTAATAAAGGAGGGTCTGAACTTTTAAGTACTTGTATGATATTTTTCACCTCGGTAATAGGTCAACTCAGAGGAGAGGAAAACGAACTCGGGCGGAGAGTAAGTTCGTGGTTGTCCGCACAACAGTACCTGTGCCTTCTTGTTTACAGAAGCGACCTCCAGTCCTTTAAACCCAGCCTTGGAAACCGAGCCAAACTCACCTGGATCTCATGCGCTGCCTCCAATAAATCACTGTAAATAAATCTGCACTTGTAAAATACTCACCTGTGGAACTTCACCTGTTGGACCTCCTCCTCCAAGTTTCATCTCCTTCATCAACCTGTAAGCCTCATCCACAAATCAATATCAACTCAAAATCATACTGGACAACCTACCTGTTATTCACCTCTGCAAATCCTCTGTTTCAGGTCCCGTCCCCAGATCCCAGCACCATTGTAAATAAAATCACTTATCTTTTATATTTATCTGTCTCTGTTATATCATTAGTATTTGCTCATGTTGACATTCCACCTGAAAACCTGATAGGAACTTCTGATAATAACAAATCAGAAAATTTTGACCAAGATGGTTTGATTAGATTTGGGAAGCAAGCATTAAAACATTTTGTGTCCTTTCCCCCCACATGTCGTCAGCTTTAAAAAATAATTCATGCATAGATCCCCACTGAGAAAACCCCCTTTTTATATACTTTCTCCTTTGTACACATTTATATAGAACTATATATAGTATCATTTCTCTATAACTTTAATTTCCAGCAAAATAAATCTTTCCACAATAAAACATTTAAGCCGATATCTGAAAAAAACAAAAAAAAAAAAAACCACAATCGACAGCCAGTTTGGCACTTGGTCATGAGAACGTACAGCCTCTGTTAGTTGACACTAAATAAGACTTTCTAGATTTTTTTCCCTTGACGAGAAA